CACGGGAGATGTACGTTACCATTGTCATTTACAATTCAGACAAGTGAAATCATAAATGCCGAACCAAACCAGAAATGGTTTAGTACAGGTGAATGTCAATGCCAAATGAGAAAAAGGCAGTGAAGCTGCAGCTCATCTGGGTGACTTCAACATAACAGAACTGCACATACACAGGGAATTTAAAATGAGGGAAGAATCTGAATATGAACAAACCTGAAATTAAAACCAAACGGTATACTGACTAGAAGGGAGGATGGAAAATGCGAGCAGCTAGCTGGTAGCAAACATTAGCTATAGCAGATGTGATGGCCATTAGCTCTAAAGGCATGTTAAATTACAGCCAGCATCTGTTCTCACAGAGATGATCTCAGTCATCTCAAAAGAAAGGTTGGTTTGGAAACCAAAACTTTAGAAAAGGATTAAAGGCAGGATTTGGGAGAAGTAGAGAAACCTGATGTCTGATAACCACAGGCAAATGTTCACAGTCCTGGATGGTCATTCTGCAGCTCTCAATGAGCGGTGCTACATTTCACAGGAGCTGGTGAAGATCCTGCATGTAGAAGTCAACAAAAGCTTTCAAGGATGTGAGTGTCAGGTTCAATGATTTGACCTCATTTTAGACAACCAAAGCTCAGCAAGCAGTAAAGTAGATGCTGGTGACAAATGCTGAGTAAAGGAAAGCAAAGTCCCAAAGATTTCCAAATAATGACTAGGATTTAACTCTGAGCAGCCCTTACACAAAGAGAAACAAAATTATTGCAACAGCAGGCATCATAAAATACTGGGACCTAGAAAAATGAAAGTAGTAAGAATGAGTAACTCGGTCAAAAAATTCAATTGCACAGTTACCAAGGCCGAACATAATTTCAGAAAACTGAGGAAAAGGTCTTCTAAAATGATGAAGGGATTACAAATTGTAAAATCGGTGGTAGGAACTATCATCAGAGAAATCACAAACAGAAAAAAACCTGTGTCATCTAATCAGAGTGCTGAGAGCTGAGGAATAAAAAATTAAGTGGAGGAAACATGCCTGGCTGGAACTTCTTAAACATGTTCCTAGCTACTGACTAGTGAGATTGATCAGAACTACTTAACAGCAGGAAAACGTTACAGTAGAAGGGGTAAAGTGACCCAAACAGTCAGTATTTGGTATCCTGCTCTTCCCATTGCACCACCAGTTATATAGTACTGGCTATCTACATTTATTTTAATAAATAGTATGCTGAAATAACCGTTTCAAAGACAGTCATAGCAAACTTGTTTTAGGGTTACAAATTCTGAAAATAATTAATGTGTATATCTATGAGTTTATTTCTCTTTTTGGGACTTGTGGTGAGACGTTAAGTACAATTTTATTTGAGCTGATTTAACCACCCTTATCTTAAGCAATAAAACTATGGTTTTGAATACCGCTCTGCCTTATTTCTAGAATATCGTACAGCTTTAAAGCAAAGATCAGTTCCTAAAGTAACAAGTCAAAAGTAATAAGATTTGTTTAGTGAGGATCTGTAATAAACTTAGGTAATTACTTCTCACATTTTGATTTCACTGTAGTAAAATTTAAAGTGTAACTAACAACAATGTAAAACTTGAATTTGAAGTAACTATAGTTTATTGCTTATTAGTGTGGAGTAAGGAGATTTTTAGAGTTAATGAGTCAATGAGACCAAAACGAAAACTACAGCAAATTCAGTCAAAATACAATTATAGATTAAATCTCAGAGGGCTATGGGAAATTAGGAAATAGGGAGCTTTTAGTAAATATTTTGGTTTTGTGACACTTTGCATTGTGACTAGCCATTGGCTCTGTCAAGCACGTCACAAATCTGTAAGAGAGACAGTGTGTTTATGGGGATTGCTCAACCTTCAGTAACAACTGAAAGCTCTTACAAGCAGATGGCTGGGGGACTGTAAGAAACCATTTTGGTTTTACGTCAGTCTCCCAGTGGCTAAGGGCCCACACTGTAATAAGTACTTCACCTGTCTTCTCTTTTTCTAGTCTGCGAAGCAGCCCTTAGGGAGCAGGTTTAATTAAGATGTTTCTGGGAAAGTAGTTTTCCAATGCATTGGCTTTCTTAGGACTGATTCAGAAAAGTAGTGCAGAACTACAAGAAAGAGTACTGACACTTCTCCTGCTATGTCACTTGGACATGCCAGCTACTACTGCTACGGTTCTACTACTTGGGAAGCTTATGGGGTATCTGAAAAACAGGCACATATTCTTAAGTATCTATGCTACTCTGGGGAAGGCTGTGCAAGAACTGCGGGGGATATGCTACTACTATTTGCTTCTCCCAGCATATTGCCATGTCCCCTGCACAAATATAATCCATGCAATTTAGCCCTTACAATTTAGAAATGATGTCTTTATGAAAAATTGGTGTAATACTTCCACTAAAGTAGAGAAATCTCTTATTAAACATCTGACGTTAACAACTTGATCACAGGGGTATAGGATGCAAGTTATAATGACAAAATTGGCTAGCTAGTATAATGCACTTGAGTGTGGATTATTATAGGATTTGTACAAAAGGCAATTTGTTGGTGCCATTATTTTTTTTTTTGGTATTTTCTACTGATAGTAAGTATCTTTGTTTTGCCCTGTTGGGCTGACATCTAGAATCTTCTTGTCATTAGCAGGTGCTTCTTGCCAATATATTGGTTTATGAGTTTTCAATGATAAATCAGTGGCACGAAGTTCTTTCCCATTTTTGTTGACTGAGAGTTGCTGTTTAAGTAAAATTTCATTTACTCTCACAACATAGATAATATCTGAAAAGATTATTATCCGAGAGGGTAGAAACTATCTGTTAACCTCTCCATGCAATAATAACTACATTGAGTCTATATTTGAAAAGACAAAACCAAACTAAAACATGTAAGCATGATGCTGATGCTGGCATTCTGTTCTTGTGTAATGTCTCCTATTGTCTTCCTAGTATATATTTTCTGTCATTTTCATCATTCTCCTGATAAAATTATAAATGCTATTACACAATAAACATTAGAAATGTTATCCCAAATAAAATTAGCTGAAAAGAGATTAGTTTCATTATTTAAACCAAAGAAATATTGTTCCTACCATATTTGCTTCTGGAAATTCAAGAAAGAAGACGGGACAGGGGATAGAAAAAGGATTGGGAATTTGCCCTTGAGTTTCAACCCATTTGGGGCTGAAAATAAACTTTATTTTTAAAATAGACTTTTCTCAAGTAATGATCTTCAAATCGTAGACTCTTAGTGTTAGCAACTCATTTAAATAGCCACACAGTAAAAAGGGTTGGGCAGCATTGTATTTTAATGAGTTTTGCCCATGAGAACTACAAGCTCTTGTTCCATCAATAAAATCAGAATTACTGCCATGTATAAATGAGAGCCTGAATCCATGTGTATCAAAGTTCGTGGCATTAGAAGAAAAAAGAAAAAAATACATTTTGGTCTGGAAATGGAGCTGATGAAACAGAGGCATCCTAAATAACATTTAAGAATTGCTGTGGCTAGAAATTCCTTTGATATATGGGTAATTTCTGCTGCTTACCTTTAGATTAAAAATATTAGTAGTGGTGTTCTCAGAAGTCAACACCAGATACTTGAATAATCCTCACAGATGTTAGTACTTTAAATAGGAGAGGTACTGTCATTCCTACAAAATAAACGCATAGTAGGATGGAAATAAAAAAATCCCTCCAAGATGTTAAAGTGTAAACACAAGCTCTTGCAGTAAGTACATGGAGAACTACAGTGAGAAATGAGAAAGTTGGGAAGTCAGATGATTGTAAATTATAAGGAAAAGGGGAATTGATAAGTCTGTAATTTTAACTCTGAGGATAAACGTCCTAAATTATGAGATAGTTAGGAATGTAAAACTGGCAAAGGAGAGGAACTACTCAAAGAGAGTGGGAAGGGACAAGAGAGACCTAAAAACCTAAGGCAGGAATTTTGAGCTCTCTTCAGATTCAAGTTAAAGAACGCCTCTGCAATTTGTAACAGGGATATGGACTCTAAAAAAACCTCAGTAGTTAAACAAAAGACGTTATGTTCACTGATCACACCAGAAACCATAAAAAACAAACCAGAAATCAAAAGCGAACATCAGATGGTAGTTCAACCATCATAACAGAAAAGGGGATATCGCAAATTCTTCATTATCTCAAATCCTTAAATAATGATGTAATACACTCATTTGTTCTGAGTTTCTGGACTGTGGGTGCTGACCCCACCCTTCCCCCAGTGTCAATGAATGCAATCAGGGAGTTGTGAAGCGTTGTAAATTTACTGCACTCTTCCCTGCTTTTTGCACACCCTTCGTCTTCAAGGTCAAGTAACTTCCAGCAGCCTCTCAAAGCTCTCCCAGATTATATAGATTTACTGTCACCAATAATTCTTAAAACTATAATGATTTGTGAAAATCTGACTTAAATGAGAAACTGTAACCTAAGAAACTCTAAAGGGCTCATGTAGTTCTGGTCACGGTACTTAGTGATAGAACAGTGAAACAAATACATCATTATACAGATTAGCTGATAAAAGTCTGTGCTGTTATTGGCTGTGACTGTATGTTTTAAGTAACTAATGAAAATGAAGCATGGAGCTATTTTCATGAGGAATAGAAACTTGATGTTCAGTTAAGAACGTATTCTTTACTTGGCTGTTTCTGTAGTATGTTATGACTTTTACCCTGGACAAGTTTTGTGGGTACTCACTGCATTTGCTGCTTCTGTCTTCATTTCTGCCTTCGACAAGAAGTTACATTTCTTGTGCTGTTTGGATTACTTTTGTGCTAAGATACTGACACTGAAGTCATGTTGTATGTACCACGTAAGAGCCATTTGTTAGAGATTCAAACAGTAGTTTATTTTAAAAAACTCCTAAGTAAATTTACCAATATATTAAATGTGCATGATAAAGTCTTAAATTAACTTGTATATACTGCAGCTAAATGTAACAGGCCTTATAAAGTTTAAGTATCACATCGTCATCTAGACCGTGAAAACTTGTAATTACATTGTGTATCCTGGAAGCTTGTTTATTACAAGTTCACTGATGTCTTTGTATTGATTAGGAACACATAGTTCTGCCAGAAAATCATCCTCTCTGTCTGACATACTGTTTTCCAGAACACTAAGTTCAAGATCAGACACATTAGATGGCAAGTAAGAGCTAACCTGAGCTACTGACTGGCTTTTTCCTGCAGAGGTCTGCCCCCTTCCTATACTCAGATCAGTATCAGACTTAACTTATTTTCTTCTCAGTGTAGATACTTGTTTAACAGGCTGATCACCCCTGTTCTCTTCCTTACTGATCTGTTGGGCTTCCTGCTTTTCATCTAATAATGATGGCTCCATTCGAGCAAGGTTAAGTGAATCAACAGATTCACCACTAGTTCTCTTGCTGGTTTTTAAGTCACGGTTTCTCTTCAAACACTGGACTGGAGATGAAGCTGAAGGAACTGGCAGAAGATCTGAAGTACTTTCAGCTCTTTGACTTGTCTTTGAAGTTCTGGACCTGCTGGATTCCGGCTCTGTATCTGACCAACCTTGCTTTGGGCTTTCAAGCCGCAGAGGTTCAGGACTGCTGTCAAGAGCTTCCGAGTCCTTGCCCGTATACTCAACACTGGTAAAATCTTCCGAATAAACTGTGTTCTCAGGACTAGCAATGAAGTCATCTGAGGATATGAATTGAGAGCTGCTTTCAACACTCCTGCTGGGGCTTGGTTTGTAATCACTTACAACAGACACATCATCACGCTCCGTGGTTTTACGATGGATTATGTGTATTGCTTCCTCATTACTTCTCTCTGCATTAGTATCTAATGGGAAAGCTGCTGGGAGTTGGGCTTTGGCATCCTTCTCCTTGTGAGCCGATTTTAATACAGTTTTGTCCAGTGAGGGGGCTGTAGTTGCTTTGGATGGACGTTCCTTGCTTGCAATTTCATCATTCTTCAATAGACTTGCAGTAGCCTGTTTCTGCAGGTCAGGGGACACATCTCCTGTCACAGAAATGTACTCCAGGAGAGCACTGTTTTGTAATGAAGTCTCAACAGTTTTATCAAACTGATTATTCTGCTTTGAACTATCTCCCTTGCTACAACGCCTGTGAGAAACCACATGCTGTTCTCCAGCATTTCTGAGCAGCTTTGTTTTGGATAAAGGGCTTCTCCTCTTCAGCATCTCCATTTGCTTTTTTCTGTACTGCTCTCTCCTTTCATGAATTATCAGCTTATCAGGGTTGGTCTGCTGCAGCCGTAGCCTCAGTGTATTTGTCAGCCTGTACAACAATTTCTTTCTGGGAGATCTGTTTTCCTTAGTTTTGCAGTTCCTTTCAGAGCCTTTCTCTCCCTGGCGTACAGCTTTCTTAGGTCCTCTCCCAGCTGGAGAAGACCCTGGTGAGGTAGCCTCTTGCTGGCCTTGCTTGAATTTAGGGCTTGCAGCTCCACTGCTCCCACCAGGCCCCACAGGTGCCTCTGAAAGCTTGAGGGCAGAAGAGCAGCTAGGGCTGGGGGGCTGTGGGGCCATGTCACCACTCCCTGGGGCCTGGTAGAGCCAGGCAAGATGGGGATGGACAGCAGCAGGCATAGTGCTGTGGGTGAGCACCGACAGCTCTGCCAGCAAGGCGCTGAGTAGCGGCAGCTGCCCCAGGGTGTTGTGGAGCTGTTGAGGGCTGGCAGGGTGCAGCAACGAGGGCCCGGCACTGGGATGTGGCGGGATCTGGCCCTCCTCTTTCTCCTGCGGTCTCCAGGCCTTGACACGCTCCCATTGCCCTGCGGCCGCTGCTGCTGGCGGCCGTTGAGGCTCAGCAGGCTCGCGGCTGTAATACAGCATGGGAGGGCAGAAGATGTTGCCCTCCAGCTCCTCACCCTCACCCTCCCCCTCCTCCTCCTCCTCCTCCTCCTCACCCGCCGCCTCAGGGGAGGTGACAGGCGGCGTGGCAGCGCGGGGACTAGCAGGGCTCGGCGGGGGCGGCACCTCACCGGCCTCCAGGCTGGTGAGACGGTAGGCCAGGACCAGCTCCCC